CTTTGAAGGAGCCATCCCTCCTCAGACTGATGGCCTAGAAACCCAGGCATTCCTTCTTACTCTACCATTACCTTCTCTTCAGGACTCAGAAATTTGAGGTGTCCTGCCCCTTCCCCAAAGAGTGAGGGGCAGCCCCTCCAGCCAGTCAAACTACTGTTTCATTTCAGGTCTGTGGCCCTTCCCGCACCAACCCTAGCATTATGATTGATGACCTCCTGACCCCATGCTCACCAGGGGACCCAGGAGCCATGGAGATGACTTGGATGGATGTCCCTAGTGACAAACTCTTAGAGCCTGTGGTTTGCATGGTAAGTGGCCAGCTGGGAGAGAGAACTGCACAGAACCCAGAAGACTGGGGGCTTGAGTTCAAGAGTAAAAATAAGCGGCTCTCCTCTGTCCTGGGCTGTTGTGGCTCCTTCTGAACAGAGAATGGCCTTTGGAGCTCTTGGTAGCTGGGGCTCCTGCCATTGACCTCACTGGGGGCCGGGGATGGAGGCCATATTATTAGCATTTTATTTTCTTCAGCAAGAAGAGTAAAGGCCAGATGAAGTGACTACATGATTCCATGGCTTTGGTTTATTTTGTACACAGAAATAAATATATGTCGGCATGGTTTGATTTGATGCATTTGCACAGGCAGCTTCTCACCTGATTAGTCTTGACCTCTCCTTATCCTAGTCTTGCCCTTTCTGTGTGGCAAGTGTCTGCCATTGTGGCTGGCCTGGTGGGCGTGCAGTTAGAAAGAGTTTCTTGCGGGAGTTAACAGATGATGGGAGCTTAGATTCTTTCAGACCAGAAGTAGGCCTGTCTAGAAGTGACATGAGCTGCCTCAGGAGGGAAGAGTGTCCCTGTCACGGGAGGCATTCAGGCAGAAGTCAGGCAGCCATAGGGAGTTCTGCACTTGGGACCAGGGCTGACCTCGAAGGCAGGCCTCTGCCTGGGTCTGCGATGCGATGAGGCTGAGGACCTGGAGCCGGCTCCTCCTCAGCTGCACGCTCTTGTCTTTGCAGTCGGACATGCTCCGGTCTTTGGCCACCACTCGGCCTACCGTGAATGCAGAGGACCTCCTGAAAGTGAAGAAATTCTCAGAGGACTTTGGACAGGAGAGTTAAAAGCTTCTTCACTCGGGTGAAGGTGGGAGGTTGATTGGGGTAAATCCACAGCATGCCCCATGTCGGTGGCCGGACAGGGGTCCAGGGCTTGTCCTAAAGTCACTACAGCGTCCCCTCTGCTGTTTGGCCGCCAGCCGGGGAGCAGGAAGGAAGGGCCCCCCCGGCCGCAGAGACGCAGAAGCACACTGGGCACCTGGTGGAATACTGGCTCTTCCTCCTCCTTCCTCCTCCTCCTCTTCTGGATGCTTGCCAACTCCTTGTCCTGCCCCTCCATGGTTTTTTTTTAAATCGTTTTTGTTCCCCTAAATTAATGCTGCTTGGATTTTCGTCTTGTTTCTAAATAAAGTTAAACTCTCCGGGAAGCATCAAGGCGTGGGAGCAGCCGGTGCTGTGGGGCCGGTGCTGCAGACCTTCAGAAGGGCTTGCCGTCCCCACGGCCGTTCCTCCTAGACCTGAGGTTTGCTCCTTGTGAATGGAATGGCGGATGCCCTGGATCTCCAGCCCAAGCTTCGCCTGCAAAGGCTGAGAATCAAGCCAAGCCATTGGTACCCTCCTAGGTCGGCACCCCGAGCCCTGTGTCCTCCATGGGGGAGGAGAGGATGGATTTTGTGAGCACAAAGCTGTGTAGATCAGAACGAGTGAAGGCAGCCAGGCGGTCTCGCGGCTGCCTTTTCTTCCCTGTGAATGTGAGAACACTGAACCCAGCCACTGCCCCCGGGTCCCTGTCCTGGAAATGGGCTAATAAATCCTTTTCCCTTCTTGAGCCACCTGAGTGATCTCATCTTTGATTCTTGTCTAGGGCCCTTTGAAGGCCTCACTTGCTTCCAGTGGAAAGACCCTTTGGTTTTCTCTCTGCTCTGCTCTTCAGCAGAGTAGCAAGTAGGGATGTTGCCAGCTGCTGCACTTCCCAGGCCTGTTCTCCAGTCAGGTTCTCGAGACCTTTCTTCCCCCAAGGCCTCAGAAGTGTGGCCAGGGGTGTTTATGGCACCTGGTCAGTTCTTGTCCAGCCACCAGATCAGAGGCTACAAACTGGGAGGGCTGGGGCCAGATATGGCTGGTAGTTGTGTTTGGTTTGGTCTGCTGCCAACATTTAAAAGTCAAGAGTTTATGTAAAGATTCACATTTCTTCAGGTAATCCTGGGCCTGCACCCGCATGAGGCAACCTATCCAGCTACAGCTGAGCAGGGGCTGCCCTGTCCAGAAGGGGAACATGCTCTCTAGCTTACCTGTCTCCATGTGGACTGCTTCACTTGTTTGTATTTCCTGCCCAGCCCCTCTGGCCATTTGAATTTGTGACCCCTGTTAGTGAGACACCCAAGGCTCCAGAGCTGGCAGCCCTGGAAATGCTGTCTGATGGGCAGCAGAAGCAGTAGAAGCTGTCACTTGTTGACCACAAGCATATGAATGCACAGAAAAGGCCTGGCCCTCAGTGCTTCTAGCTGTCCTCCCCCTCCAGAAACCAGTATTATTCCTATCTTCAAACCCCGTTGGTCCAGAACTGATTATGTAGCCAACTTGTAGGCCATTTTAGCCTTACCCCAGTGGTGTTTCTTTGATCTGATTAGGAGCATCTGCTGAATTGAGCCAACTTTGCTTGGTTCCTTGAAGGCCTGGGCCCTGTGCTCCTCTCCAGTGCTGATGAGTTAGCTCCCCTCTCAGTACCTGGAGCATCAGTGGGCTTGACCTGCAAATGACACTTATGCAGCAACTGTGGCTGGAATCTTTGTCCCTCACTCAGGAATTCCCACAGACTTCTTGGTTAGTCATGTGCCCTCAGCCACCAATTAGTGTTTGTAAATGCTGGACTAACAGCTGTCCCCTGCTTGTACTGCTTGATGTTAGTTAGCTGTGTTTTTTAATTCTACCTCCAGGTACCTTTACTTGAATCAGGTCCTTGCTTCTTGTTTTTTGAACCTTCCTCATTTCTGCTTGAACACCTTGACAGGTCACAGGGGTTAACAGAAACTTTAGGGCTGTGGTTCATCCTCATAGTTCTAGTGACAGCTTTCACAGGTGCCCTGCCTTTCCATTTCTCTCTCTATGCCACCAGTGACAGGGTGAATCAATGTCCCGTTCACTAATGAGGCTGAACAAACAGGCTGACGCCTCACCATCTATGGTAAACATGGCTAATATATGCAGAGGAATTTCCTGCCCTAAATGCTTAATCTGAAATTCACTTCTTCCCTACCTGGGGTTTCTGTTCTAAACCTTCTGCCTACATTGGCTTTCACTGTGGAAGTTGACTTCTAAAACTTTTATTAGCTCAAGATGCTGATTTGTGTTTGTGGTTTTGTGACTGATATATCTGCCTGAGGTGGAAGAAATTTTCCTTATTGGAAATGTGAGGATTTGTTGCCTTTGGGCTGTAGTGTCTTGAGCTAGCTGACCAAATCCTTCCTCCAATGTGGATTTGGTTACACCAGTAATTCTCACATATTCTCAGCAAGATAGTCTCAGGCTTTCTCCGAGGTCCATTCTGAGCAATCACTTACTCTTGGGCCTCTGGGTCAAAAAGCTGCAGGCATATGCTACTGATCTCTATTACAAAGGCATTACTAAGGGATGTTAATCTCAGAGCACTGTAAGGAAGCATCAGAATGTTCTGGTGCCACCCTGCAGGAGCTTCTGGACATTGTCCAAGGGAAAGGAGGCTCCTTGAATTCTAATTTTCATAAGGACCCATGTTTTCAGTATAAATGAGCGCTTTCTAGAGACTTCCCCAATAGTTGGGTCTTCAACCTCACCTCGGGGCACTGCCGCGTCCTGTTCCTCTCCAACATTTAATGCACACACAGCCAGTTCACTTTTGCTTGGCCTCACAGGCCCCCAGACTTGGCCCGTTTAGAGAAAGCCATAGAGGACAGTGGGTCTCTGTGTTCCTTTAATTAACTGCTGTTTAAAGCACATTTTCTCTAAACAACTTACTGGACTTACTACGTAAGTACTTGGATTTTGAGGACTTTGTTTGGTAAGAGAACCTGTGTTGCAAAACTTGGCATAAAAATGAGGTAAGACAAGTATGTAAAGAAATGAGTTCCTTCACCTCTTGACAAAGCTTGACAGTGTCTTAAGGCTAAACATTGGCCAGCATGATGCTAATTTATTTTTCCAAAATAAGTGTGGTGACCAGGAAGCACAAGTTCTGCTTTCTGTTTCTGTTCTAATTGTGACAGAAAGAGGCTCATTGCTCCTTCTCAACTGTCACCCCTCCCCTAGCCGTGCTCCATGGCCTCCTCCCAAAGAATAGCCAGGTACCAGCTGCCCAAGAGATCTCAGCAGAAAAATCTTCCCCAGCTCTGTTAAAGGTGGAAGGCAAAAGCTGGAGACCTACTAAACTGTATCTGAACCTGTTAAAATGTGTGGGCGCTCATTTACAGTAGTATTGTCATTAAACACTTCCATGGACCGGGGCCATTCTGCCCTGTGTTTTACCCTCACAAGGACACTGGTGTCCAAGGCAAAGGAGACACTGCAGGTAAGACACACCACAAGCCCTTTGTCAAAAGAAGTCAGTGAAGACAGTCAACCACCTTAACCTTCATTCTTAAACACAGCTTTCAGATATTTTGGAACCACATTATTATCAAATCTTGGCTTTGAGAAGAGATTACACAAGTCTTAAGAAATGTCTACTGAGGGCCTGGCCCGGTGGTACAGTGGTTAAGCACACATGTTCTGCTTCGGCAGCCTGGGGTTTGCCGGTTCGGATCACGGGTGAGGACACGGCACCGCTTGGCAAGCCATGCTGTGGTAGGCATCCCCACATACAAAGTAGATGAGGATGGGCACGGATGTTATCTCAGGGCCAGTATTCCTCAGCAAAAAGAGGAAGATGGACAGCAGATGTTAGCTCAGGGCTAATCTTCCTCAAAAAAGAAAGAAAGGTCTACTGAGAATGGCTATTTATTTGCCTCACTTATCTCCATACAAAATTGCCAGGAAATGTTCACTCCTTTAGGGAAGTTATTTTTCTTCTCAAGTTGAAGGCACTATTTTTTGTTCATAGTTCATTTCAGGGCAAACACTTTAAACATCTTCCTCCATCTCAGTTTGCCATGCTTTGGAAGTTTATTGTTTTCTGTTAGAGCCAAGCCAATACCAAGTCGATCCCAAGTCAGACATGCCCAGCTGAAATGTTTTTGTCTTGGTTTTCAGAATCCTCAGATGTAGCAGGAAAGCTTTAGTCATTCACTTCCATCCAGTGGATGTTTGTAAATGTCCTGCTGTCCATTTTGTCAATGAACAGGCAGCCCTGCAAGTGGTCCATTTCATGCTGGATGATGCGGGCTGCCCACCCACTCGCCTGCCACACCACCTGCTCTCCTCTAGGATCCAACCCTGCAAAGGAAGTGACAGCCTGGGTAAGGACATGCTGAACTGCATCACTGCCAACCTCCCTACCCTCTCCCTGTCCCTGGCTGTTCTATTCACAGGAGGCAGCATCAGAAGGGAATGTTGACAGCAGCCCCTGTCCTTCCTATAAATGATGCCTCAACTCTGCCGATTACCAAGTATTCAACCTGGTTCCCAACTCTGACAGTTCGGTTGGTGGGCCACTACGGGGCTGAGATGAGAAATGATCTTCCCAAGGTGCTTCCCCTCTGAACACTCCCGGCGCTTCTGAAATATTGCTGTTTGCTTTCAATTCCTAACAAAGCATTTCAGCTTGGTACAACATAAAATAGTGGGATACCGTCGACTTTCTGACCCTCTTAGACTAAGTGCCTTGCTCAAGAGGAACAATCATCCCAACTCCAGCAAAGGACCACATTCGGCAAAACATCCTGTGGTACGACAGACCGGGGATGGCTGCCTCATTATCCTGGACTGGGCAAAACTGGGTCCCACTTTTCACTCCACCATGACAAATCTAATTAGAACAGAAGTGTGTGTGTGTTAGAGACAGAAAGACACAGAGCGAACAAGAGGGCAGAGCAGAGGACCGAGTGTGAACTAACAGTGGGACTGGGTCCCTCACCCCTGTGCCCCACTTGAGCTGGCTCTGCTCTCACAGGAGCCTCTTTCCCCATCCCAATCTGTCGGGCCTGAACCCCCTCCGCTCCCGGGTCCTGCCCTTTCTTCATGCCAGGAGGCTCCGCTGGTCAGCCGTCAACGTGTCTACACCTTAACTGGAACTTCGCAGAAACCATTTCGTGGGATCCGAGGCCGCCGCCTCCACAGACGGAACAGATGAACGCGCTTACCCAGCCACCCCAGGGCCCTCGCCGCCCCGCACCTGAGATCTGCACGGCCTGGAAGCGGGGCACGTAGGCCAGGAAGCCGGCGACGCTCTCGCAGCCCTCGGGGAAAGTAACCAGGCGGCTGTCCAGCACCCGCAGGCTGGGGTTCACGAACACGCGCAGGGGGAAGGGCTCCATCTGCCGGGCCTCGCGCAGGCGCGGCGCGCAGGCGCGGCACAGCGCCTCGGGGAACTCCAGGGCCAGCACCTGCAGCGGCACCCCCAGCTGCGGCGCGCTCAGGCCCACGCAGCGCTGGCGCCGCATCACCTGTACCAGCCGCTGCACCAGCCGCTGCAGCTCCGGCCCCGCCAGCTGTGCCGGCTCTACCGGGGCTGCCACGGCCCGCAGCGCCGGGTCCCCGACCTGGCACACACGCGAGTAGGGCGGCTCAGGCGCTCCCTGCACCAGACGCCGCAGGTAGCGCCAGTAGGAGCGCCGGCGCGCCGGGCCCTCGAGGCCGTCCCAGGCAGGCGTGGAGCTGCAGGCCCGGGCGCTGCCGCCCGCCACCCCCTCTCTCCACAGGAGGGCCGGCCCCGTGCAGCGACGCGCCCTCGCCTGCAGCGACCCCAGCAGCAGGCCCATGGTGCGCCCAAGCGGAGCCACCCACCCGCGTCCCTCGCCGGCCTCCGTAGCCGAGGCTTCCGCCGCCAGGAACGCCGGGAAGCGTAGTTCCCACGCGCCTCCCGGGGGCGCTGGCACCGCCCACACTGCGCAGCCCGCCTCTCGGTGACGTCAGTCAGCTTTATTATTGAATTCCATTTCTTATCGTACAATCAGCCTTTTACAAGCAGCACTCGGAGGTTCCCCCTTCGGTCTCCTCTCCTGAATCCCTCGGCAGCCTCTCCCCTGGGACGCACTCGCGCTTTCCGAGGCCTCCACACCCGCGGCGGCGCTCCTTCTCAGCGGGCCCTGCCGGGAGCCCGGCGCCCGAGCCCGGGGACCGCGCCGGTCGGCGGCGGGAAGGCCCGTCAGGGGCCCGCACCGGGCGCGTCAGGCGGCAGCGGCTCCGCCGACCCAGGCTCCTCCTCCTGCCCCGCCTCAGAGGAGGCCAGAGTGGCAGGCTCGAGGCGCGGCTCCTCGGCGGGGAGTGCTGGGGCCGGGGCTGGGAGTTCGGGCACCAGCTCCTCCTCGTCTAGACAGAAGACCGTCTCCCTCTTGGGCAGGATGAAGGCGAGAGGCTCCTGGACGACGCTGACGTCCACGTGCCCGAGGTTTCCGTACTTGGAGAGCTGAGTGGGTGGAACGCCTGACCCATGGTAGGGAAAGGGAATGGAAAAAACGTTTAATAAGTTAAAATACTGATGTCACAGGAAAGAAAAAACACTTAGAGGAAGTTCAGACACAGCTACCATATTTCCACACAAAATTCATCTTTATGATATGGGACAGGAAGCTATACTGTCAAGTGAGACTTTGAAGGTGATCTGGAACAGCACAGTGTAGGGCGGATGGAGTAAGAGCCCGAGAACCAAGGCAGGCACCGGTTCCCCGTGACAGGCCCAAGGCAGAAGCTGGGGGAAAGCGGAGAGCAGCCGCTCTGCTGGTGCCATCGCTGGCCCACTGCCCTTGGAGCAGTGCTTCCCACGCCCCCTTCACAGGCGCAGAGAGAGAGGGCACAGGGAACTGAAGACAGTTTGGGATAAATATTTTTAAAACACCTCTAAACATTTCATATAAATAGAATCATACAATCTGTGGTTCTTCTGTGACTGGCTTCTTCCATTTAGCCAGGTATTCACATATATTGTATGATTTCATTTGAAATGTCCAGAAAAGGCAAATCTATTGCAACAAAAAGTAGATCAGGGGCTGGCCCGATTGCATAGCAGTTAAGGTCACGCTGTCAGCTTTGGTGGCCCGCCCGGCTTGGCTGGTTCAGATCCTGGACGCAGACCTAAGCACCACTTAATCAAGCCACGCTATGGCAGGCATCTCATATATAAAAAAGTAAAGGAAGATGGGCACAGATATTAGCTCAGGGTCAATCTTCCTCAGCTAAAAGAGGAGGATTGATGGTGGATGTTAGCTCAGGGCTAATCTTCCTCAAAACAAAACAAAACAAAAAAGAAAATAGACCAGTGGTTGCCAGGGGCTAAGGGTGGGATTGGGGAATGACTACAGATGGGCATGAGAGATCTTTTTGGGGTGATGGAAATGTTCCAAAATGGTAATGGTGCACACCTCTGTACACTTAATACCAAACAATGAATTTTACAAATGGGTGAATTATTTAGTATATGAATTATATCAATAAAGCAGTTTAAAAAAATCTTTTCTTCTCCTTTCTCTTACCTAAGGTCTGTGCTATCTGAGCTGGTGGAAAAAGGACCTGGAGACAGCGATTTAAATAAGGAACCAGGTCTTCCAGGAAGACAGTGCAGAACTGGACGAAAAGCTCTTGCTCCCCACTGCTGAAGGCAGCCTCTTCAGCACGATGGAAGGCCAGGATTATTTTGGTTACCTAAGAGACAAGGACACCATCAATCACTGGGGTAGTCTATCACCATCAGTAGTGCATGAAACTAAGCACAAATGTGCATCCCTCAAGTTTTCATGAAGAAAGGAGTTCCAAACAGTACATTATATCACTATCTTGTTTAAATTCAGACTTGTGGTCAATCTCCAGAGTGCTGCCACTTCATTGGTGTATTTCTGACCCAACTTGTTTCATTAATGGAACAGTGTCCAGTTCCAGTGGAAGAGCATCATGAAATTATACAGAGACTACACTGTGCTTGACTCCCATGGGAGATGGACTAGAACTATATTGGATCCAGGAAAATGAAGCAAATCTCTAAAAGGTTTCTACTGAGTAAGGCCTTTGAGGTTACAGGAAGCTAGGACCACTAGAAAATTGTAAAGAAGAAAACAGCTGGAAAGAAAGTTCCATATATAAATAACAGAGCAGCCTACGTGACATTACAGACAGGAGTCACAGTGACAGGGTTAAGAATAGACTCAGGTGCTGGACATCCTGGGTTCAAGTCCCAGCTGTGCCACTTAGTGGTTCTGTGACTTCCAAGTGATTATTTAAGTACTCCATGCCCTCTCTGCCTCAGTTTCTTCATCTAAAGTAGGGCCAACAACAGGACCTACTTCATAGGGTTGTGATGATCAAGTCTTAATACATGTAAAATATGATGAATGCCACCTGGCACAAAGTAAGTTCTACATAAATATTAGCTGATTAGTATTATCTGAATTCCATTGACTCTAAAAAGTGTCAGTGCTCATGCTTTCTTGCTCTTTATTACAGGAGAACATCAATAGAAAGATTTTATACAACCACATCACAACTGCCACTTGGCTGACGATTTATAAGATGTCATCCATTTTAAGAAGCATCCCCATATATAAAGATTTAAATGTGTAGAAAATGTGCACCATACTAGGATATTAGTAGTGGTAGTACTGTTACTTGTGTTAGGCAGAATTCTCAGACGGCTTTTGTGATTCCCGCCCCTTGCTATCCACTCCTTTTTGTAATCTCCCCCCCTTGAGTGCAGACACAATCTGTGGCTTGTTTCTAACCAATAGAGTATGGCACAAAGGTGAAGGATTTTGCAGATGTAATTAAAGTCCCTAATCAGTTAACTCTGAATTAATCAAGAGGGAGATTATCCTAGGTAGGCCTGACTTAATCAGATGAGCCTCTTAAAGGAGGGTTGAGAACATCCCTAAAAGAGACTCAGGAAGGAGGGATGTCTCCTGTTGGCCTTGAAGAATCAAAAAGCCACAACATGAACTGCCTATGGAGTGGGGCGGCCTCTAGGTGCTGAAGGCCTAGTCCTACAACTGTAAGGAACAGAAATCAGCCAATGTGAATGAGCTTAAGAGGGGACCCCGAGCTCCAGATGAGACCACAGCTTGGCTGACACTGATTGTAATCTTGTGAGCAGAGGACCCAGTTTGCTGTGCCTGGACTCCTGACACACACAAACTGGACATGAGGGGCTGGCCCCATGGCCAAGTGGTTAAGTTCGTGCATTCCACTTCAGCGGCCCAGGGTTTTGCTGGTTTGGATCCTGGGCGTGGGCATGGCACCGCTCATCAAGCCATGCTGAGGTGGCGTCCCACATAGCTCAACCAGAGACACTCACAACTAGGATATACAACTAGGTACTGGGGAACTTTGGGGAGAAGAAGAAAAAGAAGAAGAAGATTGGCAACAGATGTTAGCTCAGGTGCCAATCTAAAAACAAAACAAAACAACACTGGAAATGATAAATGTATGTTGTTTTAAGCTGCTATGGTTGTGCAAGTTTGTCATGCAGCAATAGAAAACTAATACATTACTGAATTGTTACTACAGGTGAGCCACTGCTAGGTCCCATGCAGGGGGACTAACCAGAGCGTCTCAACCAGAAAAATCCCTAAACCTCTCTAAGTCAGCAGGCACCACTGTCACAGGAACTGGGTTATTACAAAAGTTTGGCCACCTGTTACCAAGGAAGGTCCCAGTAGAGAGCCAACAGCATGTGCTCACCTTGGCAAGGGCATCCTCCAGGGTCCCAGTCACATCTTGTGCCAGGGCCACAGGGCAGCAAAGGCGCAGATCATTGAAGGCGACCAGAATATTATTGAGAAAGCAGGCAAGGGGTGGAAAATCTAAAAGCACCATGGGCGGCTGCAGGGTTCCTGGCTGAGTGACTGGCACAGCAGCAGGCAGGTTACTGCTGCCCAGGATGGCTGGAGCCAGGATGAGGGTGTAGGAGTTCATTTCATCCTGGAACTTCTCCACTGCTTCCTGAATTGCTTTCTGGAAAGTGCTAATGGCCACCCGCTGGAAAACTGGAGCCAACTGGCCCCGGAAATCAGCCCCTACCCGGCTGAAGGACAGCCCAAAGTACATGCACTGGCCCAGCAGAGAGTCCAGGCGGCCGCCTATCCCCCGGTGAAGGTCAGTTTCCAGCACCTGCAGGAACTGTGAGACTTTCTGCAGCACCCAGCCATGGAAGATGGCACTCTCATTCACAGTGTGCTCCCCCATGGCAGGGGGCAGCAAAGGGTCCTCATCTGAGAAGATGGCACGGTACTGGGTGATGATATCGAATAGATGGACACGGCAGGCCTCGATGGTTTTTGTGATGTGGAAATAGGGATCCTCATTGGGGATCGCAGTCAGGATGGAACGGAGCCAAGCATCTCGGGCCTGAAGAAACTTCACCCTCAACTCAGCCTCGGTGAAGACATCCATGCGCCGCAGGAAGCCAATGACACGGAGGCAGGCAGGGAGCTGGATGTTGGTCCTCAGTTGCTGGATCAGCTGGGTCAACATCAGCTGCATGGACTGGCGCACTTCGTTCACAATGCCCTGACAATAAAGGGGGTGAGTCACACTACACACACATAGGGAAAGACACTCCCTGGAACCCATTCCACTAACCCTGACTATTGCAGACCAATATTCCCACTGGTTTCCTGACACACAAAGTAGATTCTCTAAAGCTGATGCATACAGGTTCACTAACAAAGATCTGGTTCACTGTGGCTGCAGGTCCTGCTGGTTCTCCTGCCTCACTTGCTTCCTGACGCTTTCCCCCTGCTTGCTGCAATCCAGTCACACTGGATGTCTTTGTATTTCTTAAACATTCCAACTTCTTCCCTCCTCAGCCCTCTGTACTTATTCTTTCCACTTTCTGGTTTGCTCTCTCCCCACATCTTCTTGTGGTTGGCACCTTCTCATCACCTGTGTCACAGCATAAATGTTAGCTCTCCAGAAGAGCCTTTCCTGACCACTCTACCCAGAGTAACCCACCCTAGTCTCTTTTACCACGTTCTCTGGTTTATTTTCTTCAGACACTCACGACTATCTGAAAGCATCATACTATTTATTCACTCATTTGCCAATAGTCGGGTTACACTGATGAGAGCCAGGACCTCATCTGCTTTGTTCACATTGTATCCCGAGCACTGACATTAGTGCTTGGCACACGATTAACATTTATCAGTTGAACAATTGAGTGAATGCACCTCTTATGTTCAAGCCTGCCTTGCTGGCAGAAACTGATGTGAAACTGCAGGGAGTTGCCCTAAATCTTCTGCCTAAAGTTTCGGTGATGACCACAGAATTACTGATTACAAGCACGTCAGTTTCAGTCCTCTCTGGGCAAGCTGGCTACCTGGATGACAGGGATGGAAGAGTATTTCCTTTCCAGTCGGCGGACGTAGGATGCAAGCTCCAGGGCCTCTTCATAATAGCTGTTCCGAACACAGGTGTCCATGAGCTGAGGAATCTCCAGGATTTCCAAGATTTCTGTATGCCGGTTTAGAGTCAGCGTGTTCATCCGTCGATTTGAGCTGATCTCCTCAGCCTCTTTCACAAAGTTCCTAGTAACAGTCAGGAGAATGTTGGTTGCTCACTGCTCTGCACCCAAACCTTAGCTACAGTTACCAAGCGTTTAATATGAACTGGGCACTGGGCTGGATGATTTATCTGATTTAATCTTCACACCAAATTTTTGAGGTAAATACTACTACTCTTGAGGAAACTTTGATCCCAGAGAGATTAAGCAACTTGTCCAAGATCACACAACTAATAAATGATAAAAAGATCTGAACCTAGATCTGCCACTTAACTAGCTGTGGCAAGGTACTTAGGCTCTCTGAACTGTTTCCTCATTGGTAAAATAGCAGTAGGAACCACCTCATAAGGATGTGAGGATTAAATGAGATGATATGTATAAAGCATTCAACACAGAACCTGACACAGTAAATGTTCCTTTAATAAAAGCTGTTATTATTTTGGTAATAATGCACTGAACTAGCCTACAAGCTACAGCCTTACCCCCAGTTCCCTCAGCCTCTTAATCTCCTATGCTATCGTTCAACCTTAGTTCCCACCACAGGCTCCATTTCTTCATAATTGCAGAGACCGGCTTTATGAAGTCCCCTATTTATTCTAGGCGGGTGGAAGGGTACAAAAGCTATTGTCAAATATCCAAAGACCCAAAAGAAAAGAAACTTTTACCATGAAAGGCTGGGAGGCAGAATTAGGGATAATGGACTTAAGATCTAGGGAGGCAGAAGATGGATCAAAAAGGAGGGATTTTTTTTCATAATTTTTGCTGCCCCCAAATGGGAGCATTTCCTTGTCAGCTTCCTATTAATGAGTTTTGGAGCAGGTGACCTCTGGTCTGAGCTGGTGTGTGTACATATATATTTACACAAACATGCACATATGTTAAGATGACAAGTGTAAAGCGTTAACTATGTCAGACCCAAGGATAAGTGCTTTGCATGGATTCTCTTGGTTTAGTGCTCACAACACCTATGGGGGAAGGAGGTGCTGCTGGGTTCCAATTCTGACTTCGAAACTTACTAGCTGTGCCCTTGGACAGTCACCTCTGAGTCTTAACTTCCTCATACATAAAATGGGAATAACAGTACCTGCCTCGAAGGCTGTTGTGAAGTTTAAATGGATTAAGAAAATGCTCACAGCAGAGCCTGACACGTAGTAAGAGCCACGTAAGTGTTAGCTATTTCTATCATCATAAATGTCAGCTATTAGAGTCGTTAAAAGCCCCTTTAGCGCCGGGCCCGCCGCACCTGCAGCTCTGCTGGAAGCTGGGCAAGCGGTCGAGCAGGCGGCCGAGCGACGCCTCCACGTCGCCGAAGAGACGGTGGATGCGCTCGGTGCACTCGGCGCCGCGGATGAAGGTCTTGTAGTTGGCGAAGGCCAAGTCGCGCGTCTGCTGCAGCAGCTGCGCCCGCTCCTCCGCCAGGCGCTCGGGCTCGCGCCGCAGCCGCTCCAGCTCCGAGCCGCTCAACTCCCGGAGGTAACGGCCCACATCGGGCCGCTCACGCCAGTGGGCCTCCGGGAAGCGGTCCCGGAACAGCGACGCCAGGAGTCCTTCATCCTCCACCTCCCCGAGAGCCGCTGCAGTGGCTGTCGTCGTGGCCGAGGTCGTAGCCGACGATGGGACAGTCGCCGTCGCTGCCATGTTCCCGACAGCAGCGTCACTTCCCCTCCGGCCCAGCGGGGGCGCTGGCTCCAAATCTAGGACCGGAAGCAAGAGGGACACACTTCCGGTCTCTATGGTTTCTCATCCGGGCCAGCTTTCTAACCCCGACGGTCCTCCAGGCTACGGGGCGCCGGCGAGGGGAACGAGTGAAAGGCAGCTAGAGAGGCAGGCTTTGGGGTTGCCAGGGAGCGGCTGGAGACTGACTTCCGTTTCCGGCGACTGAGGCACGAGGATCTCGTGCCTTAAGCCGGCGGGAGAATGCGGCCTTTGACCGAAGAGGAGACCCGTGTAATGTTTGAGAAGATAGCAAAATAGTGAGTGCGCGGGGTGGAAGAGGGAGTGTGTGTGGCCGGGAGGGGCGTGGGGGGAGTAGGGTTGCGCAGCCGGGACGAGAAAGTTCGGGCGCGGCCTCCAGTCCTCCATTTGCTCTCAGCATCGGGGAGAATCTTCAGCTGCTGGTCGACAGGCCCGACGGCACCTACTGCTTCAGGCTGCACAACGACCGGGTGTACTATGTGAGGTGAGGCGGAGACGGGGGGCAGCATGGACTCGGGTGGGGGCCTGGGTCCCACTAGCCTCCCTCATCTGACAGCTCCTTCTTCCTTACTCCTTTAGTGAGAAGATCATGAAGTTGGCTGCTAACATCTCCGGTGACAAGCTGGTGTCGCTGGGGACCTGCTTTGGAAAATTCACGAAGACTCACAAGTTCCGGTTGCACATCACAGCTCTGGATTACCTTGCACCCTATGCCAAGGTTTGTGCAGTGGTTTCCAGTCTGCCTCTGGGGATGGAGGAAGTCAAGGATGAGGCCCACTTCAGCGCGCAGATAATTGGGCAGCTTCTCTGCCGCAGAGTCCCCGACAGTGCTTGGGGTCAGTGCCAGCACATGGAGATGTTTGTGGGTCTTGCTGTTCGGGCATAGTTAGGGCCTCGGGGTACGAGTGCTGTATGGCGCTGTGGTTCTAGTTATCTCCAGCAAAGTAGAAAAGCCTATACAGATCTAGCTGAAGATTAAAAAGCAAATAGGCGGCTGTGATGAGGAACAGAGTGGGGTCCAGAAAAAGAGCTGTTAAACTGTCCGAGGGAGAAGTTGCTTCTAGAATTGAGAAAAGAACCTCCTGGCAGTTCTGTTCAGGCAGTGAACAGAGTGAGGGAAACATGCATCTTTTCTTTTCCTTAAAATTGTTTCAAGAAATTAATCGCAGATCCAGCAGCCAGCTTATCTGCAGGGGTATGACTGTTAGCATTTTTACGTCTCTTGGATTTAATTCTCTTTTTTATAGTATAAAGTGTGGATAAAACCTGGAGCCGAGCAGTCCTTCTTGTATGGGAACCACGTGTTGAAATCTGGACTGGGCCGAATCACTGAAAATACTTCTCAGTACCAGGGAGTGGTGGTGTACTCCATGGCAGACATCCCTTTGGTGAGTAGAGATGGTAGCTCGTACACAAATCAAGTATCTTTTTTTCAGCAAGGATGTATTTTCAATCTGTGTGCTTGAGAGAGTAAATTTTCAGCATCTTTTGAATTGTTGGAAGAACTGTATTTTTTTCGTGCTTGTTATTTCTAGCCCTCAGTGCATGCTTATTGAATTGCTTGAGTGAATCAGTGTCTCTTCTTTTGAATCTTAGGGTTTTGGGGTGGCAGCAAAGTCCACACAAGACTGCAGGAAAGTAGACCCCATGGCGATTGTGGTATTTCATCAAGCAGACATTGGGGAATATGTGCGGCATGAAGAGACATTGACTTAAAAACGAAATCGTCGCAAGGACTTGTGGCTGTGTGGAAGGGCCTAGCTTTGTTTCCTGTGTCTGTGTAGGCTCCACCATCGTGTTGTATTTTGTCAACACTGTGACTTCTTCAGGGACTTTTTAGTGTAATATTCTATTATCGACGATTGCAGGCTGGATTCTTATACACAGAAATGGCTCAAAAATGGGGTTTCAGATCTTTGTGTTTGTGACTAAATAGAATAGTGTTTTATGTTTGAATCAGAGGGCGTCTTGTTTTGAGTAACAGCTTCTGAATCGTTGGAACTGAGGACAAGAATAGCTTATTGTTATCTGTGATAACATTATTTTCCAAACACATGAAAGGAACACAATGAATTTTCTTAATTATTTATTAGTACTATGCAAGATAGACTAGTAGGCCATGTCTGGGATTATACAAATGAAATTGGGATAAAATAATAACAATTTATTCTGCTAATTTTCCATAGGGTAGGTGCTGTGTGGTGTGGAAGAAAAACTTGGATTCACACCCGAATTCTGATACCTACCAGCTCCAGGGTCTATGATGAGTCATTAAATTTTAATAAGCTTTATTTTCTTCTTCTGTTTCAAAAAACAGCGTTAATTATCTACCTAAGAATGGTTTCTGGAATCAGAAATCGTTGTAAAACATTTAGCACAGTGCCTGACAAATGATAGGTGTTGAATAAATGGTAAGAATTATTTTTATATTGCATATACTGAGTATTCCTATTACTGAGAGTAGGATTTTATGAGTATAGTTTGATTATATTATTTTGGTTTTTATAAGCTTTTAATTATTATTGAGGTCATGATAGTTTATAACATTGTAAAATTTCAGTTGTACGTTACTATTTTTCAGTCACCATATGAATGTGCCCCTTCGCCCCTCGGGCCCACCCCCAACCCCTTTCCCCCTGGTAACCACTGAACTGTTGCCTTTGTCTGTGTGTTTGTTTAACTTCCACGTATGAGTGGAATCATACAGCGTTTGTCTTTCTCTGGCTTATTTCGCTTAACATAATACCCTCAAGGTCCATCCATGTTGTTGCGGATGGGATGATTGTTCTTTTTCATGGTTGAGTAGTATTCCATTGTGTGTGTGTGTGTGTGTGTGTGTGTGTGTGTGTGTGTGTCTGTGTATATATATATATACACCACATCCCTAACCAATCATCACTTGATGGTACAAGCTTTTTTTCCCCCTTGATCTTTCTTTCTTGGACAACATGATCCCAGGCTGAATGTTATTTTTATCACCTTGATTTCCTAAAACATAATTTCTCTTACGAACCTTTACTTAACCTGACTCGACTGGACAAAAAGCACTAATCAGAGACCCTGAAATAATTCAATTCCTCCATCCTTCCCCACATCTCCCAAAATTATTTTTAGAATTGTTAAAATATTTTTTAAAAATGAAAAACATTTCAAAAATTTAAAAACCAGCTGGATTGTAAAACATTTTCTTTAACAAATATACTGCTTATTTTAAATTCCAAAGGTATTTTATCTCTAAAAATAAACATTTTTCCACTACAAAAAAGCAGTCTACCAACTCCTATTTTTGTATGCGACATATAAAACCGGATTTCTGTTTTTGTCCCATTTTTTCCAACTCTTCTCCCTTCTGAGGTTCTCTGTTAACCTCTACATAGACTTAGTGACGGTTGGGGGACTGCTGTATGATGAACAGTATTTTGATGGTAACGTTTATTTTATTGCCATTTTTTGCCTGTGTAGATGACAGCAACAGACTAAAACTTTCTAACGGGAAACTGATCTTTTTCAAGAACTTTACAAAGCTGGTTTGGCCAAAGCTTTGACGAAGGTTCTGCCCCAGAAGGAAAGAGCCACGGCACTGTAGTTGTTTTAGCTTAGCATCTTGGCTTCTTTGTGCCTGTAGTCAGTGGGACATTGAAGAGACGCTTCAAGAAATACAGCTGCAGGATTCCAGAAAGAACAATAACAAGGCTCTGGGCTGTTGACCACCAGTTCACATAGTTATAATTTGATTGGAGAAGGAAAAAGTCCGCCCTTTTCCTCATTCGGGCAAAGTTGTAGTATCGCCACATGTGAAAGATATTGTTCTGCACCTTTTGTGTACTCTCCTGTGGGACACACAATAAAATAAAGGAGTCCTCCCTACCTGCCATCTAAGCTCACCTGGGTGCTTACCAGCACTACCCTAAGTTATCTGGAAGTTGAGTAACTTATTTGTATGATTTTATGATATGTAGTAAGTTGGCTGTTGTAGTTGATATATTCTGGTTTTGCTGTATATGAAAAAGTGGCCTGGACTTTAAATAAAAATAATTTTTATAATGAAAAACTTTAGTGCTGAAACTAGAGAGCCCTTGTGGAGTGTCTCTAGATTTACACATTTCCTCAGCACATAGTGCCCTTCTGGGGATGTCTTCTGTTCTTTGTATATGGTAGAAAATAAGGGCCTACAAACTTTTAATTAAAGGACAAGATAGTAAATATTTTGGGCTTTGCAGGCCATATGGTCTCTGTTGCAACTACTCAACTCTGCCATTGTAGCACAAAAACAGCCATAGACAAGTTGTAATTGTCAAATGAGTATGGCTGTGTTCCAGTAAAACTTTGTGTACAAAAAAAGGCAGTGGGCTTTTGTGCATCAAGGAGACTATCAAGAAAGGGAAAAGACATCCCACAGAATGGGAGAAAATACTGCAAATCATATCCAGAATATATAAAAAACTCTTAGACCTTAACAATAAAAAGACAATCCAATTTTAAAATAGAGGATTTGAATAGACATTTCTCCAAAGAAGATATACAAAGGGCCAAAAGCACATGAAACGATCCTCAATGTCTTTAGTCATTAGACACAACTCAAAACCACAAGCTAGGAGCTGGCCCTGTGGCCGAGTGGATAAGTTCACGCACTCCGCTTTGGCGGCTCAGGTTTTTGCCAGTTCGAATCCTGGACGCAGACCTGGCACTGCTCGTCAAGCCATGCTGAGGCGGCATCCCACATCCCACAACTAGAAGGACCGACAACCAAAAATACATATGTACCGGGGGGCTTTGGGGAGAAAAAGGAAAAATAAAATCTTTAAAAAAAAAAAACCCACACGCTATCACTTCACACCCACTAGGATGGCTATAATAAAAAAGACAATAAGATGTCGGCAAGGATGTGGAGAAATTGCAACCCTCATACACTGCTGGTGGGAGTGTAAAATGGTTTAGCTGCTGTGGAAAACAGCAGTTTCTCACAAAGTTAAACAGCTACCATATGACCCAGCAGAATATACCACTTCTATGTATACAGAAATGAAAACATGTTCATAACAGCATTATTCATGATAGCGAAAAAGTGGAAATAACCCAGTTGTCTGTCAACTCATGAATGGATAAACAAAATATGGTATATCCATGCAATAGAGTATTATTCATCCATAAAAAGGAATGAACATGTCAAATGAAAGAAGCCGGACACAAAAGGCCATAATGTATGATTCTACTCATATGAAATGTACACAATAGGCAAATGTATAGAGACAGAAGGTAGATTAGTGAGTGAGTACCCAGGTCTGGGGGGCATGAGGGACAGAGTGACTAATGGGTATGGAGTTTATTTTTGGGGTGATGAAACTTCTGGAATTAGATGCTGGTAATGGTTGCAGGACCTTGGGGATATATAAAACCCACTGAATTGTACACTTTAAAATGGTGAATTATATCTGAATTAAAAAACAGACAGGGCCGGCCCCGTGGCTGAGTGGGTAAGTTCCTGCGCTCTGCTTTGGTGGCCCAGGGTTTTGCCAGTTCAAATCCTGGGCGTGGACCTAGCACCGCTCATCAAGCCATGCTGAGGTGGCATCCCACATAGCTCTACTGGAAGGACCCACAACTAAAATATACAACTATGTACTGGGGGGCTTTGGGGAGAAGAAGGAAAAATAAAAACAATAAAAAACCTTAAAAGAAAAACAAGCAATGGGCCAGATTTGGCCTGTGAGCCAACCCCTTGGTATAAAACAAGTGAGGAATTTGAAGAACTCTGAGTCATGAAAGTTAAAGTCTTCAAATCCCCTTACCTGGTTGGTTTCTAACCAAATGAGCCCTCATTCAAATGATAGTACTTCCATAATTTTATTTATTTCTTTTTTCTTTTTTGACGGAGATTAGCCCTGAGCTAACTACTGCCAATCCTCCTCTTTTTGCTGAGGAAGACTGGCCCTGAGCTAATATCCATGCCCATTTTCCTCTACTTTATATGTGGGACACCTACCACAGCATGGCTTTTGCCAAGCGGTGCCATGTCCGCACCTGGGATTCGAACCGGTGAACCCCAGGCTGCCCGAGAAGCAGAACGCGCGAACTTAACCACTGTGCCACTGGGCCGGCCCCGGTACTTCCATAATTTTAATCTTTCCTCCAAATTGAAAATCAGTTTCCACGGATGTTTATCTCCCACAAAACAATTACCTCAATTGCATCCAGAGTATCATTCAGTTGTTTTCTCTCATTCTGTTTGTGGTCCATCTCAGGATCCTCATAGAAGACTCCAAAATTGAGGTACACTTGCACAGAACCAAAGCGATTTTGCTGATTTTTTAGACAAAGCTGATAAAAACCTGTAGGAATCCCTAGATCATTAGCAAGTCTTGGTCTCCCACCCTTTGCTGATCTCTCACCCTCCCACCCTCTAAATTTCCCTGGAGATGACTGTTCTGCAGTGTTAAACGTGCCTCTATAGCACCTTCTTTTTACTTAGGAAGGACAAAGACCCAATTTTTGATGTGGAAGACACTTATCTTACATGAAACTTATTTTACTAAATAATATTTACAACATGTTTTGCCAAATTTTAGTAACTTTAGTTCTATACTGGATAGAAAACAATGTTTTCTCCCTCGTTTTCAACCTATAATTCCCACATCCCTTATTAAGGAACTTCTCAACTTAATTTCAATTGAGTTGAAATTAAGAACGTTGTGTTTGCCTGCTTCTTGTACACCCTTAGAGCTGGGGGATACCATTGTGAACTTGAATCTAGGGAAAAAATTGGTATGTTGTGAATAAAAGCAGTTATCCTGCTGGAGTAACTTCCTGCAAGGTGGTCTGTACAGGGACTGCTGGTTTGGGGCATGGACTGGTGCTGGTTCTCAACTGGAGTCACCTCCCCTTGTGTGGGGAGCGGGGAGTGGGGAGGAGCAGGATTTGAAAGGTGTGGCCGTGTATTTGATTGTTGAAATGATTGGAAGGCACTGCTGGCATGTAAGGGCCAAAGATGCTAACTATCCTATAATGCTGAATATCCTGTGCTACACAAAGGGGCATTGTTTTATGCCCCTGTTGAGAAACACTGTCTTTTTTTGTATACCTGGCTGGTAGAGAGGGCAATTAAAACTGACTGGTGCCGTCCAGGATGGGGATGGGCTCCATCTGGCTGTAGGAATTTTCTGGTGACTGAAGGAGTGCTTTGTTGTGGAATGTGGATGTTTTTCGTGGCCTTGCATTTTCTTTTGTTCTAGTCTGCTTTTTGGTAACTGGTTCAAGTATTCTGGTGACTGGAAAGAAATGCTATCTCATAATAAATTTATTAATTGGAATTCTGTATCATAAATGAGTCTGTTTTGGTCATTTTCCCATAAACTAGTCAGTTGAGATGATGAGATAAAATTGAGCTTCTAGACCCTGGAGTTAGAATAATTAGTCACCTGGAGACTCTGCCCGCAAACTGCTAGTGGACTACCGCTTAATGTCCTTGGCCATCGGCAGTCTGCAGGAAAACTGGTTTTTGGTATTGAAAGCTAAATTTTTTTCTTATCGTTTCACCATCCCTATGTGAAAAAGCCCAGGCTTTTACGTCTCAGATAATTAATTTCAATACTTCATTATTTCCCCAATTTCAAAGAAACTTATGATTATTGTAATAGCTGTGGTGATGAAAACAGACCTGTCTCTTGGGTAGGGAAGTTAATCTGGCCCCGAACATCCTGAGAGGTATCTATGAGGAAACCCTGTGGTGTATGTGCGGTGGCAGCAACATGCCGGTCACGTGACATTCCCACTGTCCGCTGAACCTGCCAAGACACATTAAAGAGGGAGAAAAGTCCCTGCTGCATCACCACGAAGCTAGGTAATTGCCAAGATTGACACTCCATGATCATCAGCACAGTGGTTCTCAATCAGGGATGGTACTGCCCAACATCCTCTGGGAATTTGGATTCAGACAACAGTGGTGTTCGGGGCTAAGGAAGGACAGCAATGCTGAACATCCTGCCATGTTAGAAACAGTATTGCAGGACAAAGAATTGCCCAAAATCCCAACAGCACCCATGTTAAGAAGACATGTCTCAGACCATACAGCTGGCACGTATCGGTTGGTATGTATGATTCTGGCCCTGGAGTTCTTAACCGAACTTGCTTGGTTTTGACTTCCCTGGTGGTGTTCCAGATTTAGGCACTTGTCCTCATGCTGGGTCCTGATAAGCTCAGGCTACAGCGAGCTAACTAGTAGCTACTGTTCTGTTATAAATTCAGAGATAAGAAAAAGCTCTGATAAGTTAATTTAAAATGTTTTAAGTTATAGCGGCATGGAATAAGATCAATATAGTCTATTACTATGTAAACAAAAATTAGAAAGTTAACAGGTTTCTAAGATAAACAAAAGAAATGAACAGCCTTTAACTTTACTGTTGAGGAGACCATCTTTGGGCACTGTGGTCTAGGACCAAAGGATGAGGGAAAGGACTTGGCCTGTGAACAGGCAACTTGAAAACATTTACCTTCCTAAAAGAAACAGGACTGTCTGGCTGAACAGAGAAATCTTGAGCGAGTGATTCTCCAATTTGCTGGAATTACACCTAAAGGCAAAGAGTGGATGTTGCTCCCCAAACCTCATAAACTGAAGTGTTTCTTTGAAATCTCTGGGTCTGTCTCCAAAGGTCATGTGACTTTTCATTCGACTTTGTACCATAGCCATATTGTTCTAATATTTTAAAAATGTATCCTCTCCCCTCTCCTCTCCAAATGGGAGTAAATGCGCTGGTTCTCTCTCCTGGAAGAGGCACACTGTTTGTTCCATGGCTTTGAGCACACATCCAGCACCCCCAGTTTGAGAAGCCAAGCCATATGTTTTAGTCACTATTCATCCATGGAGAGTTTCCATCTACCTGCAGGTCCATTTCATTAACAGGTGGGGGATCACAGCATAATAAAGACAACCAGAGCTTGTGTTCGTCTAAAACCTGACCCACTTTACAAAAAGAAACAAAAAAGCCCAAGTCCCCAGTATGGCCAGAGGAGCCCAAGTACCCACCTCATAACTGAAATAGAAGTATCCAGTCTGGCGGGCAAATTGCCAAAAGCATTCTGTGCCTCCTGAAGGGATCATGATGGCAAAGTCACATCGATCTGCTCCATGGAAGAGTGTCTGGTCCCCAGAGCCACTAAGGGGTTCTGTCTTCTGGCTCCTAGCAGAAGTCACTAGGTTCAGAACCACCAGTCCAGCCCCAAAGAGCAAAGGGAACATGCTGCTCTTTGGAGACTCCTCTGCAGGCAAACTGCTTGCAGCCCAGTGGAACCAAGAGATTAGACCACTACTGGGGTAATCATTAACTCCACAAGTCACACTCAGGCCAGTTTCAGGGCCACACAGAGATATTCCATAATAGAACTGGCATGATACCCCCATGTTTGGCTCACAGGAAGTGTTTGCTTTCACCTCAAAAACTCAATGGCTTACCAAACCTACTTCACAGGTGCTAGATAGGATCTACCACTTCAGAAGAGGTATTTCCAGCCTTCCTTTGGGCTGTCATTTTTCACTTCTTGCTTCTTGGAGATAAACATTGGGTAAGTTTACTTACAACCATCTGAATATATAGACAAAGGGGGTCTAGGGAGTTTTTTCTCTCTTATTCATATCAGATTGCTAGATGCTACCTACTGCTCCTCTAAGACATGTGGGGCAACACCTGTTAAGTGGACTTTCTGCTTGTACTACAGCTTAGAGAGCCAAGCACAGCATAGAAATGTGTGCACAACTTTAAATGGATGAACAGAGTGAGCAAGAGACAGCGGTCAAACTCCTCCACTGGTAATCCTCCTCGTTCTGCCACCTTCCACCTGACTGATACACTCATCTAAAGCCATTCAAAACCCACTTACAGATTATATTGTTCAAACCCTTGATCTTTCTTCTTTTATCCATGACGTCTTCAGCACCCACAGGGAGAGAAAGGCTCATTGAACACCCACTGACTCCATGGTCGGCACGGAGCTAAGAGATTTACCTGCATCTTATTTTATTCTCACAACTGCCCTACATGGGAGATATCATTACCTACTGCATTAGAGATGAGGAAATGGACATTTAGGATTCCAGTGGCTAGCTCACCATCCCACAGGCACAGGTGGCACAGCTGAGGCCAAGTGGGCCATACACTCTTACCTACCAGGACAGTGTTCTGTCAATCTCTTGAGTTCTGACAATGTCAATTTTTATTTCAGCCATAATCTTAAAAAACAAAACAGCATTAGCACCTTCTAACCAAGTATTACTTTAGAATTCATCGCATTGATTCCAAGTGGTAATCCTTTAACTGTCCCAAGCTAATAACCAAAGAACAGCCTTCATAATTGTGTTCAGTTCTAGCGAAGGCCAATGATATCACAGCACTCTGAGGCACAGTGGCTCTGCAGCAGTCTTGCTGAGGAGGAGGTGGGGAGGGTAGGAGACTGGGATCATTTCTCAGTTCACAGTGGCACAGGTACTCCCACCCGAGTCCCAGCACCGCCACAGTCCTAGCACTACTCATGTCTCTAGCAGTGACTTAGATTCAGCAAACAGTCATGAGTTCACAGTAAGTTTTATAGTTCTATAGAAGCGCTAGGCAGAGTTTTGTTTGTACACATTTCAGTAACATCATAATAAAAATAACACTGAAGTTATGTTAAAAAATGTTAATGGACCTATGTGTTTCTCAAATTTGAGAAGCACTGATCAGGATATTTTACTTCTTTAAATGCATCACAGTGTCGCTCTTCTACCTAGAGAGCACCATCTAATGATGTGACAGTTGACGGGAGAAAAGCTTCTGGATCCTAATCTGATTCAGAGGGAGACCACAACTAGCTGAAACCAGATGGAGAGATGGCCAGATGGAGAGGAAATCATGTTCTCACCGTCTCACTGTAGTTTCATTTGGGGTTAATTGACAGAAAAACAGTAGTACCAAACCCCCAAACATGTAGTTAACAGGTAATAAAGCTGTACAAAAGTTTCGAAGTTATAACTACAGGATGAATTTGAAAACTTCAGCATTTCTTTACATCTTGCCTTTCACTCACTCAAAAGTGAGAAAGGGGGATTGTTTCTGTCCCCAGAAGTATGTTATATGAAGAAATGGACAAATTAAGAGGAAATTTCCACATCTCTGTTCGACACGTATTCCAAGGATTATAACATCCAATACAGTTTGACATCAGCTTCTTAACATAGTCAATATGGTTCAGCAAAGCTTCTTCAACATTTTGCTACCTGCATCTGTTCATATATGCTCTGCTGCAATTAAACAGCTACTTAAATTTGAGAGAAGCAAGACTTTAATGAAGAATGCTACAAGTTATGGACAATAATTAGTACTCATTTTAAAAAACGGTTACAGAAAACACTTTACTGAAATTTTTTTTGCTAAAAAGAGTCTTTAAGGATGTCAGAGAGAGACAGCAAGCACAACACAGTACAAAAGGAGAAGGGAATGTTGAATTCCAGTGCAAGACACTAACACAGCACAATTAGGGAATCAGGCGGAAGCAACCATTTCACAAAGAATGGAATTAGGCATTTATATTCAATCAGAATTTTTTTAGGCTTTAAAAGTCCAGCATAAGGAAGGGAATTGGGAAGAGAAGATGAAGGGAGGGGCTAAGCTTATCTACAATCACCATTTTACCAAAAAACACACTGGTTCAACCACATGAGAAGTGGAGGTTAAACCTGCCTACATAGCCCAGCAAATATTAAGAGCAAATGCCAAGGCAGTCAGGTATAGGTGTTGATGTCACAACTGGCTGAAGTCTTTAAGGGACTCTGATTCCACCAGGACTGGTCTCTCGGCAACCTGGGCTCATGACAGACGAAGTTCCTTTGCATTTGCATCAGAAGGCCAAAGCTTTACCTGGAACAAGTTCACTCCAAATAATGCTCATGTTGCTGGTTTTAACAGGTCATGGAGTCATAAGTGGCTCCTAACAGACTCCACCATTTCCTAGGAGAAGGTTCTACTGATTACCGGGGATTTAAATTCAAGCAAACCACTAAAGAAGGGAAATACTAATGATATTCTGGCACTGTACAAGCTACGTGCCTGTCATCTCTGCCAAGGACATGGGGTGGACTTGGCTTTGTTTCTCAGCTCCACGATCTCCAACAGCGATGAAGTGAAACTGGGACCTTTCCCATGTCGGAGGAGGATGCCCAAAATTCTCCTCCCAGCCCAGCTTCTGAAAGAAACAGCAGACTATCAGGGGCTATTATTAGGAACCGTGCTCCTGTGAATTCTGTGGAAATGAAAGCCTGTTTCAGTTCATGCCAAGTCTTTTCATGGTCCGCCAGCGATCCTTAATCATCACAGCTGTTCGGTTAACAAATGGGTAATTTTTAGAAATGGCAGCCCAGTTTCCTTCTCCATATTTCTGCACTCCAGCCTTGACCCATTCGCTTTCTTCTACAGTCCACTTCTGCAATAGAAAACCAAAAGATTTCTTACAACCTGTCTCTCCACTTATTTACATTTTCATATAGTGAAGAGGTAAACTCAAGAATCCTAGAAGAATAATCGGAACCCAAAAGGGTTTATATTTTCAAAACATAAGATAGATAATAAGTTAACACTGTGAATTTGGACATTTAATAATTTTCAATGTCCAGAGATTTCATCCTCAACTAATAATCATTTCTGTATTCAAAACTTCAAACATGTTGTTCATGGGTGGGAAAATGTGCCAAGTTTCTGTCCTCTTAGATTATTCTTCCAGAGAATAACCATTACTTTTTCTTTTTTCCTTTTTCTCCCAAAGCCCCCCGGTACATAGGTGTGTATTTTTTTTAGTTGTGTGTCCTTCTAGTTGTGCTATGTGGGACGCTGCCTCAGCATGGCTTGATGAGCGGTGCCATGCCGGTGCCCAGGATTCAAACTGGCCAAACCCTGGGCCGCTGAAGCAGAGCGCGCGAACTTAACCACTCGGCCCCAGGGCTGGCCTCTAATCGTTACTTTTAGTTTAGGTTATCTGAAAATTGCAAAAAATTTTTTTACCGTGTGCATGGGTAGTCTATGCCCAGGAGATGTGGGTACTTATTTTACCTCTGTTCTACCCATACAACCAGAAAAGATCAGAAGAGAGAATTCTAAATTACCTGCTTTTTTGTTATACTGGTTGCACTCTCTTCATCTGGTGCTGCTGGAAAACATTAAAAGTAGACTCATTTCAGAGTTCACCTTTGTCTGCACAAACCACAAGAAAAAGACACAGAATGTCCCGAAAGGGAAAACCTGATTCAAATTTCACAAACTTTGAGAAAAGAAAAGACATTGTTAAAGGATTAATTTGTTTTTGTCCTTTGTTTTGGGGATACCAATCATTTCAGCCCATGAGAATCTGTACAAAGCAAATACTTTACAAATAGGCATTCAATAAATGTTGGTTAGTGATGGATTTCAGGCTCCTTAGGAAAACCAATATCATTTTCTAAAATTACTGAGGGACTGTGGTATTTAAAACCCTAATATACACACATAAGTGTATATATGTAGGTGTGTGTGTACATATAGAAAATTTCTGCTTTATAACCCCTTGCTAACTACTGCTTTGAAATAACACAGTTTTACTGTTTTATGCCAGAATTTTCAAATCCCTGATCATTTTATAGAAGTAAAATTTGGTTTAATTCCTTAAAAAAAAGAACGGGATAATAATTATCGCTTCCTACTCTGACAGACATGCGAGATCTGCTCAAACTCCACCCCTCACCATATGGAAAGAGATGAGGCCTCAAAAAACATGGACCAAAATAATTTTTTAAAGGACCAGAAGGCTACAGGAGGTTATACAAGTATAAAAGACATGAATGCCATTGCAAGCCAACGAGAGCCAGTTAAAAAGCTGCAAGAAAAGGCAAAGTTGCATAAACATAAAACTTGTTCGAGTGTCTGCCTTACCAGATGCTGTCGCAGCAATGCTTCCTGACAATGGAGGAGGGGGCTCAGGAAAAGGGACACTTACAGGAGAGTACTATTTTTAAATCATGAAGTATTTCATACTATAGTGGAAGCAGATTTGTAAATCTGACAAATCTGGACTACACTGGAAGTGGGTGTTTTCTAGGACTTTCATATCCTGTTGGTTTTAAATATTAAATGCCACTTTTATTGATTTTCTGTTACCTCCGCCATTTCCTGTGTGATCTTGATCTTGCCAACTATGTTTTTGCCAATGAAGCTACTTTTTAAGGACAAAACCTTTCAGACTGGCAGAGGATTACTGTTGTTGCTACGTCACAAAAAGTCTACAGAATAATCTCCAAAACTAAAGTTTAGCACTTAGATATTTCCATTAGAATGCAAAATATGTGATGTGAGAGATTTTAATGCAAATGCTATGAAGTTTAGTATTAATTATGGAAAAGCAAAGTTTCTTATCTTAGAAAAATACATTTATATATAGAAACTGGTAAGAGAGTTTTTACTTATACAAGAAATGCAAGGAATAACCACTTCTACCTCTTCTAATTAAAAGACTTTAGGAAGAATATCAACGGCAATTAAATATATCATTTATTAAAACAAAACCAGGAATTTTCTTTAAATATAAAGTGCTGCTTTGACAGTCTCCATTGTTTAATGCGAAAGGACATAAAACTGATTCCTGATGAATCACAATGAAGAACTTATTAAACTTTTTCTAGTTTGGAGACAAGCAGTTTCTGGAACACAAATGTGATAGTAACATGCATCTACACTTCAGCAAGCATCAAGGAGAGACCAAAGAGAATCTCCTAGCTTACCCTGAACTGGAAACAGTTCCTCCTCTTCCACCCAAGTGTCTTTTTCTTCAACCCCATTAGAGCTGTTCCACTTGCCTTTGGGTACTCTAAGAGGAGATCAATGAGAGGACAAGGTGTAAGACAAATTCATCCTGGATCATCCCATTTTCTGTCCTTGGCTTACTCACCACCCTGTATGCCTCTCTGTTCTGCTGTGACCACATTCAAGATTTCACCTACACACAACTCCCAAATCCTGACTTGGCCAGGCATCTCCATGTCAACATCCTCTAGGCTGCAGGACCATCCCTCAAACTCAGCACTGTAATACATCACCATCTCCCTCAAAATCTGTTCATTTTCCTGTTTTTTGTTTGTTTGGTTTAGTTTTCACTCTTAAGGTGTGAGCATTCTTCAACCTAGAAGCTGCAAACTCCCTTCACAGATATGCCCTATTCCTGTCTCTGGACGGCTCTCCTTTCCCTCCCCATTCCCCTAGTCCAAGCCCATGGTACCTTTCACCAGTATTACACTAGCCTCTTAACTGGAGTCTCTGCCCCAGCCCCTTCCCCTTCGAAAGCCATCTGAACAATTGTCCTGAAATTACCACATCCCTCCTCTATTCTGTGATGTTTCTCACTGCCTAGACGCCTGTATGGGGAAATCAAGATCCTCCAGTCTAGACCCAGTCAATTTCTTGCCACCAGTGAGTGCCTCCTCTCCCCACCACCATCCCCATCATACCCACACCCACACAAACAGCAGAGCCACACCCTCTGCTCCTCCTTTCTCCTGCAAACTCTGTACTTTCCTGCCTCTGTATTTACTGTTCCCTCTGCTTGGGATTTGCTTCTCTGCCAGCTGAAATCCTATCCATCTTTCAAGGCCACCATTGTCAACAAGCCTGCCCTAACTACTGGCCCCAAAACACACGAAAAGCCCAGCTCCTCTGCCCTTGGGCTAGTGCTTCCACTCATTAAACAGCCATTTCACAACATACCCCTAACCATAAGCATCTTGAAGGCGGGGCCTGTATCTTCATTTGTCTATGCCAAACACCTAGCACTGTAACACGAGCCCTAAGGGGAGCTGCAGAAATATTAGCTTAATAAGGGGATTATCAAAGAGCTGCAAAGGAATTATACCATCAAAGATTAGGGTGGTGAGCAAACAAGAATCCTTCCTGTGAACATGAAATGTTAGGTATTTGGGTGCAACCAAAAACAGTCCCAATGCTGAAATATAACCCCAAGCCCAAATTATTAAATAATTTAAATGCAAATTATAGGCAGTCTTTTCTAATCAACTTTGACTGTGTTTACCTGATTGATAATATGACTGCCCTGGGAACAGAGCACAAATCTGACCTCAGAATTATAACATCTTTTA